ACTTTGGGGATATTTGATACACTAATCCAGGAGATGTGGCCACCGGTGGAGGACTGGAAGTAGAAGAGCCGGCGAGAGTCCGGGAGAAGCAGGCGACCCTGAGGCGAGAGATGGGGAGAGAGACGCGATTTTGATTAGGTTTTGATTAGATTTTTGATTTCAAACGGGTTTGGTTAGATGTTGATTTCAAACGGGTTATTTAATTGATGGGTCATGGGTCTGGGTCGGTAAACGGGTTATGGGCTGTGGTTACTTCACTTGGGTTGCTGTTAACTAGGCTTTAAAAAAAAAAAAAAAATTTGGGCTAGCCCAAAAGTTCAGTGCGGGCATCTGCCCGCACTGGGCCTAATGGGGCTCCGCCCCTCACTAAAAAGTTCATTGATGTTGTGGTAGATGAGCTCAAGGCAAAACTTTCATGCTAAGCAATAGCTTAGGTGAATATTTGCATAAAGTTTGACAATTGTACATATCTCATAAAAATGAGGGTTAATTACTTGAATCATCGCTGAACATTGCATAAAGCTTTCATCAGGTCATTGAACTTTTAAAAATTACCTCATTAGTCTCTGAACTCTGTAATTTGTTATCTCGTCTATCACTCAATTTTTAAATTGCTAATGATGTAGACACCAAGTGAAAAATAGATTATCACGTATTTAGTTTCGTTAGCCATGTTAGCAGATCCATCGACTTTTTAACTATTAGTTGAGTGAGTGATGCATGTGATTATATTTTGCAAAGTTCAATAACTAACGAGGAAATTTTTGAGGTTCAATAACCCCCTAAAAGCCGTACATAAAGTTCAACGATCAATCAAGTAATTAACTCGAAAATGTGTAGATCATAACTGTCCAATTTTGATACAGTTAGATTCCTTGTTTTTCGTTTTTCTCCCAAAAAAAAAAAAAAAAAAGCTAATTATTCTATTTTTACAGATCCTAATGAAAATCAATTTGATTTAATTATAAAAATATCCTTAAGTAAACCTATACAAATTCCCTTTAGTAATTTAACTTTTCTCTTCTTTCTACTTTATTTATGTTTGAACCCGTTTAAAATTTATTTTCAATTACATAGTATTTTAAAAATAAACTTTAAAGTTCGACCAAGACAGTGACATCTTGATAAAATATTTTCTTTAAAAAAATCGATGAGCGAAATCATCCTCACCTCGTCTTTTATTATGCTTTCAGTTCGAGCAAAAATTGAAAAAATCCTTCTACGATCATTTGTAAATTGGTCGCTCGAATATCGAAAAATAGTTTTGTGATTTGTTTAGGACCCATTTTGCATTGCTTTTGAAAAATCAAAATAAGATTTTGTGGTCCAAAAATTGCTTTTAAAGGATATTTGATTAATTTTATGAACAACGCTTCTTTTAATTATTACTTTTAGAGGAAATCTAAAAATACTTTTGAAATATGAAGCTATTTTAAAAATTAATTTTCAAACAAAAATTAAAGTAATTTTCTCTAAAAGTTTTTCTATAAAATTCAAGAGCAAAGTTATGCCAAACGAACCCTTAGAAGGTATTTATAAATAGTTTAGAAATGAATGGTGTGGATAATATAATAATACTTGTGAATACCTCGAAATATATAAATAAAAAGTGAACAATTTATAAATATGAGCTAAAAATAAGCAACACAAAAAATAAATAAATATATAAAATAAATTTCAACCGTACATGGCAAATGAAGAAACCACAATAACTCCCTAACGGAATATGACAAAGCGCAACAAGAAAACTTGTGACAACTCCAATGTCACATTCTATAACACAGAACACAACTCGAAACTTTTTATCAACCGATGATGATGAAACCATACGAAAGAAATCAAGGAATGCGTCCCCGACGAAAAAGAACACAAATGGTCCTAGTCTTCCGGCAGGGAGGGAATTCTGAAATGCTGAAAAGGATCCATAAGATGTTAAACCGTGATATTAAACGCCTAAACGATTCATAATAACGATCATCTCATTATCAATCTCAACAGAGTAGAATAAGATGAGTAATGTAATAGTAGATGAATTAAGTATTTTATTCTATCGTTCAAGTGAGACTCCGGCTCCAAAACCCTTGTGGTTTTAGACTTCTACAAGCATACAATTAGATCATCATTTCTTCTCCCAAATCATGAAGAGATGATTGAACGATTACTCTAGCTCTTGATGCAACTTGTACAAAAGTAATTGCACATACAGATAAAAAATGCACGAATTTATACTGCTACTTACCTAAAAATGAATCAAAGAGCGAAATATGTGAAAAATGAACAGCTTTAGGTGTAAATTTCCTCTACATATCTGAATCAATAACTGAAGTAAGAGTAGACTCTTCATATAGTTGGTGCTTCAAGTACAGAACGCCTCGGTAAAGCCTTGGAAGTCCAGACGGTTCAGTTTGCCAGAAATTTAGGTAACTAAGCTCAGAAGTCGGAACCAACCAATTTTCTGCCTCTAGTATTTGAATCTGAACAGGACACATATGTTGGTTATCACGTCCTCCCAGAGCCAATATATACAGAAGATAGTAAATCATCATACGGGAAAGCACTTGTTAAGCGTTTCCTTTAACTGTGCAATTTAGTTATTTTTAGGAAGCGTTCATCTCACAGTTGGAGAAGTTTGGTACTGATCTGCAACGCCGTTGTTAAGTTTCCCACTCTGCTGTCTCACTCTTAAACTGCCTTGTTTCACTGGCTTCGGCTGAAAAAGAGAGTTGAACATTTTCTCCAATGACTGAACTGTATACTTTGCATATTTGCTTGCACTCGGGTCTTGTTCAACCAAAGGCCCATAATTTTGCATGTAACTACGATAAACAGGCACTATAGTCTGAATTATAACATGGCGCGTTTTCTCCTGCAGATCTTTGTCCAAAATAACCCAGTTGCACTGTTTCATATGCATGTCATCAAAAGCTTCATTAAAAGATTTTAATCTCTTTTTCACAAGATCACGGGCAGTTGCATGCCCTCCAGAGAACAAAATCAGACCTTCCCGACTCAAAAGCGCAGGAAGTTTACCCCAGCTCTCTCTCAAGTATAGAGCAGAATAGTAGTCCTTGTACTGTTCATGTTCCCTCAACCAAGAGTCGCCCAATAGGGTACCAATCTTCGTGTCTTTCAGATGCTTGTATAAATGCCAGTGAGTGTTCATCAAGAATATATAGGACAAAACAACATCTTCATAAGCCCTCGACCATGTCTCCACGTTCAGCTCAATGGATTTAACTAAATTCAGAAGTTCATTTATAAGGATTCCTTCTTGGAATTTTTCGTGCTTCCAACTTCTTTCAATAACCAGAACTTGAGCAAGGATTGGCTTGTAGTCATCCGCAAGCAACTTATTACAGTAATCAGTAATAAATGTCACCACTCTTGGAATCCTACCATCCAAAGGAGGTGGAGTATGTCTTTGCAATTCAACTTGAATTGAAAGCTCCCAAAATATTTCACAAGCCCCTTGAACCAACCCCTTGATGAGATCTCTCGTCCAATTTTGGATCTCAGCGCAGGCTGCTCCACCAAAGAGACGGTTGAAATCCAATCTCAGCTTGCTTAAGGCTGCAAAGATATCCAACAACTTCAATAGCTTGATAGGATCCTTTTTACTTTCTGTTACAGTTTTCCCAAATTGTAAGAATGCAAGAATACCTGCCTGGGCAGCTATATCAGCAAAACGGCTCTTCCAAACATCCAACCCCATTCTCTCAAACACATCATTACAAAGTTTGTACTCGGACTCAAGCAGGTGCTTCACAGCGAACTCCAAATGCTTGCCCCACTGAGCTATATAACCCTCTATGCTCGCCACATTATTGAATTCGGAGACTGATATCTCAAGATAATCCAAATTAAGTGCCTGCAAACTTGCCCGGACATTCGAACTTCGAACCTCAACATAAATGGAAAGGCACCTGTCAAACCTGTTATTTGCAATCAATCTCCCAAGAATAGCCTGCAGCTTCTGTATAACAGCCACAGGTAAAGGGGACGGCGCAATGCAGGCTTGCCCACCTGGTGATGTCGGTGACGACATTGGCAATGGAACACTGTTTTCTGTCAAAAGCCGCCGATACTCATTCTCCAACCTGTCCAAAGCAACCTCAAGAAGCCCACCATCAAGACGACCCTTTTCCTCCCCCACTTCCAATTCACGAAGACGCTCCAGTGCTTTCTTCAAACCTGAAATAAACTTGTTATCCGCCACTTCATGATCCTCCAGGTACTCAACAATATCGGCTAACCATTGAATTGCCATCCCACAATTCTCCCCCAGGAACCTGGATGCCTCCACAAGTCGCTTAAGCACCCCAAGATACCCAGCGAGATCAGATTGAGGATCAGATAATGATTTCTCAAGTCCATGAATGGCGTCAAAAACCTTAAGAACTGCAGCAGCTGGGACCACGGCTCGATTTATATGACCCCCAACTGTACCAAGGGCCTCCCCTTGAGCCATTATTGGCCTGATGGAGACTTCCAAAGATGGTAATCTTTGGTTAATTTCATCTAATCTGACCTCGGTTTTCACTAAAGTTAACCCCAATGCCTTTGACTTCTCCATGCTAGCATTCAACAGCTTTCTTGCAGAAAGCAGATTTTCAACCCCTCTATCCATTAGAAATAATTAAATCACCAAAATAATAATCCCACTCCTAACTTTCAAACATCCGACCATAAACGTAACAAAACAGAATATGTAATTTGTAACGACCGAATCTTTTTGTGTGTTTATTTCTTACTTTTGCCCCTCCTTTCAGGAGATAAAGATACTAAAACAAATCTGAGTTCTTGTAAATAAAGCATTTCCATTTCTTTTCTTCCACAAGCTTTCCCAAATCTCGACCAAAAAAAGGAAGAGATAATAACAAAAGGCCACAAAAAGAAAACTCACAGTCAAATCAACGCGAATTCATATAAATGGGGTCATTGAGAAAGAGAGAAACTCACAAAAAATCCGAAATAAAAATGAAGGGTTCTTAAATCAGAGATCATGCCTGACTCGGTGAGTGGAATTGGACTGATTTAGTGTGTGCCTGCGTGAAGAGAGAGAGAGAGAGAGAGAAGAACCTAAATAGGGAAGGAAAAAAGAAGCTTGGAAGGAAAAAAGAAGCTTTCTGGTGAACAATTTTCGCTCAAGTCCAAGAATCGTGCCAAAGTGCTTGACAGTAAAATGCTTCTTTTTTATTTTTCATTTATTTTCTTCTCTCTTTTTCTCTGTCAACTTCTACTGTAAGGAATTATGAACCCCTTTATTGCCCCCAAGGCATAACCTAGTGAAGTAAAGGATAAAAGTGAGTTTATCTCATGTCTTACTGATAATTGCAATGTGGGGGGTTCGATTCCTGAAACATGAAATTGAACTTCTTGTAGGTATAGTGTACATGTAGTTCTCGTTCCTTGACCTGTTAGGGCACATTCTGTGTTTTACCTCCCTCACAAAGCTCTAGAGACGGGACGATGGGATCCTTAAGATTGATGTTCAATCTTTTTTTTTCTTCTTTTTTTTTTTTTTATTATGAACCCTTTATTAGTTTAAATCAATCAATCAAGTATCTTGATAATGGGCAGGAAAGGTTGGCAATTATATATCCAACGCTCAACACGTCTAGCAGATGACAGGTTAATAATGAGGAAACTTAAGGAGTCTATTCAATATAAATTTTTAATAATTTTATGGGAGTATTCAATGTCGATTTTTTGAAACTCTCTAAAATTATTCATATATTTAATTGAGACTTTTAAAAAATCTTTAAAAGTTACGATATATTCAATTAAAACTTTTTTTTAAAGTCTCTATAAGTCTTGAACTATTCAAATTTTACTGATTTCTAAAAATTTTTATAAAATTATTTGGAGTATTAACTTTTAAACAGAAAGTACTAAAATATATTAATTTTTATTTATTTTTAAAAGTATATTATATTAATAATATTGAATATTAAATTTATTGTTTATCATATATATATATGTGTAATTTTGATTATTATTTATTTATTTAAGTTCTTAATTTTTTATTCTTTTAATTTTTTTTTATATTATATAGGAAGAAGTAGGGGAAGTAAGAGGGAAATTGTAGAAACCAACACCTTGTATGTGAGAATTTTACACCATTGTATTAGATCCACGTGAATTCTATTTCAAATGAAAATTTTCAAAAATCTTTTAAATTTTACAAAAGTTTATAAAAATTTTAAAATAAAAGTCTATAGAAGTCTATAAAATTCAACACAAATTTATAAAAGATCCAAAAAATTTGCTGAGGTCATCACTTAAAAAAGTTCATCAAAGTTTTCAAAAGTCCCAGTTGAATACATCCCCTTTAAGATAATTAACACAAAATATTTTTATCTTTCAATATTATTTTGCAAAACGTTACTATTTTTTATTTTTATTATTTGATATTTTCATCATTATTTTCACCTTTCATTACAAAAAAAAGTCATTTTCATTTATTTTCTCAATTAAAAATTATGAAATGACGAATATACCATCTTGTTTGAACAAAACAAAAAGAAAAACAAAAGAAAAGAAAAAATAAAGACCTAATACTTCTTTCCCCAGCATTATCCACCTTCTTTTTATTCACAACATTTTCCTTTCCTCTGCATGTCACAACGGCTAAATACTCCCTACTTTTCCCCTATAGCTTTTGGCCTCCATTTGCATTTCTTGGTCGGGTTGTGATACACACCGAAGACACATACACCGAGGAGGGTACGAGGGGGTTTTTTTTTTTTTTTTTTTTTTTATAATACAAGTGGGTCCCACATTATTTGTGAGCATTTCAAAATTTTCTGTCATTTTTTTGTTCAATCGACATGGGTTTTAATGGATTTTTTGAAGGACAAATTGCATCCACCGTCGCAAGATGCAGTACTTAGTACTCTTGATTTGATTAAGGTTCGAATGCAACTCTAATGGCAAAGCTCCAGCGCCATTGTAGATAGCTTTTCAGACTCTCTGCCCTACTGTGGCTTTTACACCAACGTTGGTCACGTCCGTCCCCACATGGGCCACATCAAATTTTTACACAATGTTTTTTGTCATTTTATTAAAAGGTTGAATCCCAAACTTGAGGACCTCCACGGTCCTGCTCCTGGAATATCGTGAAGAAGTTAAATTGCAAGATATACCCTAATAGATCAGAGAACAAGAGCTCATCTATACACTGGTGCTCACAAAAGAATCAAATTCCACATCTCATGAATCGAACCCTCACATTGTCACTGTCAGCAAGATTGAGACTATCTTACTCCTGTCCTTTACACCATTGGATTATGCCCCGGGGAGATACTTTTGACTTGGACGGTGAAGGGAAACTAGTTGGAGAGATGATGGTTCTTGAATTGGTGCCTTTGAAATGAATATTTGGGATTATTTACGTTGTTTATGACTGTATAGTATTTAAACACAATTCAAGTAGTTAAATAAAATCAACTGCAATCTATTTGAAAGACTCTGGTCATTTACAAAAAATGATCACGGTCTATTTGAAAGACTCATGTCGATTACCAAAATACTGTGGCCCATTTAAAAGACTATAATTGTTTCAATAAAGGAGTTAACTAAATGGAGGTAATACGAGAATCATGTATTACTCGACATTTCGTTTGAGAATGACACATATTACTCGACATTTTGTTTGTAATGAAGTGCCAAGTTGTCATCAAAGTCTCGACATTTTGAAGTAACAGATAAAAAATTATGTACGTTTGAAATTAGGCAGGCGAACAAACTCAAGGTTTGCATAGAAAACTCGAATTTTCGCTGTAATGTACTAATAATTAAATCCAAACAAGCACTTTGTTGTATACGTAATTAGCTACTTTCAATTAGGTAAATTAATAGAGTTCATATTGCATGTGTTTGACCCCCATTTTTTCTCATTTTTTTTCCAATTCTTTCCAACTTTTGTCAATCATTGTGGGCCCTATCATGAATAATAAGCCAGATTCCCTGACAATAATTAAGGCCACCTGCGTTTTTGACAGTTGTTTGAATTTCAACTTTTTTTCTTTCCGTTATTGCCCTTTAGTTGAAATTTCATTCTTTCCATTTCCCGCCATTCAATTGGAATTTTATTATTTCACTAGGGGCAAATTGGTCAGACAATCTCAAGGGCCTGATGTTGTCTGAAGACATTTCTGACGGTTTTGTCAGTGTTAATGTTGTCTTTTGCAAAGTTCCTGTAGAAAAATGAATTCCGGTAGAAAAATTTGGCAAGAATTGACACCAAGCGGGTGCATTATGCCAACTCTAGCATCTCAGTGAGACAAACATGTTTGTGAAGTATTTATAAACTATTTAAATCATATATAAATAAAAACAAAATAATGCATAAGCAAGTATATAAACACGTGGCAAATATAAGAGTTGAAATTACACAATTCAAGACCAATTCTGCCCTCCATGCGTGAGGTAATTTACATGAAAGCCCAACCCCCAACTATCTCTAGATTGCACAATAGTCCCTTTTCTCTCTATGATTCATTTTTCAAATGTCCCTTACTTTTGAGTCGAAACTATGCATTGCGCCTTGCATATGCCCGTGCTCCCCCTCGTATGTAATGATCACCATCGTCGGATCATCTCTTGCCCTCTCCACGTGCTTTCTTGCTGGGCATCCTTTTACTGTACTACATTTATAATAACCCCTGAAAAATAAAAAAAATAATGTGATTACTTTGTAGTCTACATTTATATTTTGGAAATTCTTATTGGATTGAGTGATGGTGCACGGTAATTACCGTGGGAAGGGAGAGCCCTTGATTGGCTTTTGACCATATTTTCGCCATGAATACTCATCCTGCGGTGTATCTGCACTATTCAAGCTAATTGCCGGTACTCTAATTGTATTCTTCAACCGATATTTTCTACACAAAAAATACAAAACTTTAGAGGTATGAACAATTGAATAGTATTGGAAAAATATTTTAAATTGTTTTTCTTCTTTAATTCTGTTCAGCATTGCCATTAAGGTGAAATAAACATAATTTTTCGACAAAGTCATTTTTATTTTGTTTCTTAATGATCCCCTAATTTTAATTATATTCCCCTTTCATCTCGAACTATATGTAAAAGTAAAACTCACGAAATTCTTACATAACAAAATTCATTGCCCAACTTATAATTTTAGCAATACAAATTGTCTAAATTTATGGTCAATCATAAAACTTGTTAATTTTATGAATAATGCTATTCATAGTCATTCTAGTCGTCTTACGTAGGAATGTCAATCGGGCTTGTTGATTTAGGTCGCCGATCGCTCGGCTCACGAAAAGCTCAGTAGACCCGAGCCAAATCTCGCACAGTAAAATGCTGCCTTTCAAGGCAGCAGCTTTATATTAATAATAAAAAAAAAGGGCTGACCCGACTCGATTTGAAAAGGTTTAAGTCGAAAGTCCGGACCAAGCCTAAAATTTTTGGGCAAGCTTTGCTCGGCCCGACTCGGGCCTAAAAAAAAGCTTGACAATTTTAACCGCCGAGCTTGTGCCTCAAGTTTGGACTCGCGAGCCGACTGGACTCCACTTGTTGACATCCCTAGTCCTACAGGACATTCTGCATAGGGGTTTATGATGTGATATATTAATGTGATAATTTTTTTATGCCTCATATATTAAATCACTAATTGATACGTGTATATGACGCAAGGCGAAAGGGAATGACCGCAAATAATATTATTTTAGTTTTAGTGACAATTAATATCAGATTGAAGTGAAAAGATAAATTTGGTGACTAAATTGAAACAAATATATAAGTTACAGGGTTTAACTGGAGAAAATAACGTTGGACGTTAAACTTGAAACAAACTTATGAGTTAGAGGACATTCAGTGAAACTTTCTCGTTGAGTAGAGAAGTAATTTCTGATTAATAGGATGAACTGTACCCACCTCTTTTTGCAGTGGCAGCTGCCGGAACCGGTGGTCTTGCCAGATACATTGTCGGATTGTTCATGTTCATGACATGTCTTCCTGGAGACGGACGGCTCCACGGAGGAGGCAAGCGGGGCCGCCTTAATCAAGAACTTAGATTGTTGAGACACACTCTTGCCATTGGACACAGTTCCCTCGCCTGTGGTTGACGAAACGAAAGTCGACGACAACGTATTCCCAGACGTCGACAGTTTCGGCGATGTGCTAAAACTCTCGTTGAAAGGAGTGGGACCCACCATGCAATGCTTCGGAAAATCAAGAGTCACCAGCGGCGCCGGACACCCATAAACAGGATTTTGATAGAACCCAGAAGTCGAAGGCGGCGGGGGAGGGACTGCGGAAAATTGATGTTGATTTTGAACTGCAGCGTCGGTGGATCGGCGGAAGCGGGCATGGCCTATCTGGTTGCGCTTAGAAATGGCTTTTCTAAACTTGGAAACATTTGAATCAGAGATTTCTGTGCATTCTAGCATCTGGTTATGGTGTTGGTGTTCTTGCAAGGCTATTTGCTCGTTTATGCTTGCATAACTGAGAAAATCCACTGCCATAATTCAAAGAAAAGATGAATAAATATCAAGATAATGTATTTTTAATTTGCATCGGCTATTAAGAGAAAAGTAATACAGTGAAAAATGCAGAAGGAATTGTTTTTACTTCTTAGTAAGGAAAGGGTGGAGGAATGATATATGGGGGCAGGGGAGAGTTATTCCAGGTCGAAATTTCGTCCAACGTCACTCAACTTATAGATTTGTTTCATGTTGGTCGTCTAATTACAACTTGTTTCATGTTCATCACTCAATTTATACTTTTGTGTTAGTTTGATTATTCCGCTTGTAACTGTGACCAAAATTGTTGGACATTCCCAAGCGGCTATAGAGTGCACGACTATTTATTTGTTTAATATTTGTCTCTGTTTAAACTTTATTATCTAAATTTTTTTTTTCAAATTCATTTTTAAAAGTACATTCTTCTAATAAAATATTTTGTACGTAAACTTAAAATTTGTTTTATACTTTTTAATCACACATTATTCAAAAATTCACTATTACAAAACTCATTTTCAATAAAAAAGAGCTCAAACATTGACTTAATTTCGATATATTTTATTCAGAAATCTGGTTGCTAGTTTAGTATCAAAAAGTGTCGCATTACACACTTAATGACTGGTCATTAATCAGATTAATTTAATCTTGGTCGTGAATACAAATACGAAATGTGAAATTTACACAATATAATAAGTTAGGTGATCAAGTTAAAGTAAATCAAGGTTGGGTAACTGACATGTAATAAACTGTCAGTTGGGGTAGCTCCAACCAAATTTTCCAGATGATCTGACGGCTGATTAAGAGTCAAAGGTTGGCATAAGATTAAAGGCTGAGATTGTTTTGAAAATTCAATGTAAAAAGAAACGACAAAACAATGGTCTTTCTTCTTTTTCTTTGTCAAACGATGGGACCCACTTGCGGGAGCCTTAGAAATAATGTTGCCAGTACAGTTTTATGCTTCCAGAACAAGGAACTGCATCGTAATGTTGCACAATGCGGAGCTTCAGCTGTACTTCGTAGTGACTTAGTGGGTTCTGCTCTGGTATTGCAAATTCTCCAGGGCAAATTTGTCCAATTAAGAATAGAATAAAAAATGGCTGAACTTACATTGAAGTTTGACGAGATGATGAGTTGGTGAGAAAGAGACAAATATGAAGGACATTGGTAATCTCAATCAAGATTTTTGTCCCGAATTTATCCGCTTGTATCCAACCAAAATCTGTCAAGTGTATTAGATGATTTTCACTGGCAATAAATTGTAGAATATTAAAGCATAAAATAAAAATGAACACAAGAGATTTTCACCTTGGGATGAGGTTCAAAGAAAAACTTCTAGGTGCTGTCTGGGAGGGATTCTTGCCGAATTATAAGCAAAAATTCTTCTGTTGGCTACAGTAAATGGGGCCCAGACAATGGCAGCAAACTTTGACTTCACCAACCGATCAAGTAGAAATTTAGGTGAAAAATACCATCTTATCCCTACATTGTTATTATTTTTATTCAACACAAGGATAATTTTGACAATTCAAATGATTCCTAAAAGGCGGCTACTGCAACTGTCCCTTTTCTGGCCACTTTTCTTGTAGATGTGGGGCCATTAATAGTCAAAATTTTTCTTAAAATCTGCCTAGGGTCGTTACCAGACATGTCCTAATTCCCTTTTGAACTTTCATCATTGGAAGAAAACCACTATATTAACGGAACCAAATTGTTCAAAGGTACAAATTCAAGGAATCTAACTCAGAAATCACTCAAGACTATAGTATATCCCTCAAACATAGTTAACTATTCACTCAAAAAATAGTGAAACCACAGCCCTGACTAGACTTACAGATATCACTCGAGAATCTAAACCTAGTATCAGAGTTTCATCTTCTAAATCAAAAAGAAAATGAACTTTTGAGAGAATGAGAGACCCCCAAAAACCAAAACTAGAGGGAACGAACAGAAGTCAAATCATGCAGGTAATTAATCTCGAAACCCAACGAATAAAAGTCTCGTGAAAGCCACCCAACGAATTGAAACCCAACAGTACATAATTATGCCCTCAAATTGTCTTTTGAACTGAATTCCCAAATCAGAAGTTCCTTTGATATACCTGAGAAGCCATTCCATGGTTTCAAAATGCACATCACCAGATTTCGACATATATCTTCTAAGCACACTTACAGAATATGGTAAATCAGGTCTTGAACAGACCATTAAGTACATCACAGACCTAAATGCATAAGAGTATAGTGCTCTTTCCGTTCTCTCAAATTCTTCTTTTGATTTATAACATTAATCACTTGAGAGTTTGAAATGATTAGCTAAAGGTAAACTAAAACACTTTGCATCAGACATGACAAACCTCTCTAACAGTTTCACAATATAAGTTTTCCGACTTAGACTTGATGTACATTCCCTTCTATTTCTCTTAATTTCAATTCCTAGTATTTTTCTAACAAGATCCAAGTCCTTTATTTCAAATTCAGGTTTTAACTTGTTTTTGATTAATTCTATTTCTTTTATGTCATGATTAGCCAATAATATGTCATCAACATAAAGAAGTAGATAAAGTAAATCTTTTTTCCCGCTATTTCCTCTATAGTAAAGACAATAATCAAAACTGTTTCTCTTAAAACTAAGCCCAAGTATAAAAGTATCATCTTTCTTGTACAATTGTCTTGGAGTTTATTTTAAGTCATACAGAAATTTTTTGAGAATGCACACTAAATCAGATTTCTTATAAATCTCAAAACATTTTGGTTGTTTTACGTAAATGGTTTCATCAAGATCTCTATTTAAAAAAGATTGTTTTGATAACTAACTCATCCAATTCCTGATTAAACTATGTGGCTAAAGCTAGGATTACTCATATGGTTGTAAATTTCTCAACATGAGAAAAGATTTTATTGAAATCAATCCCCTCATTTTAAGTAAATCCTTTTTCCACAAGTCTAGGTTTGTATCTAATGCCATTTTCATTCTTTTCATCTCTTTTAATTTTGTAAATCCATTATTTACAGTGAACCATCATTTTACCCTCTATTTTTTTTTTTTTTTTTTTTAACCCAAGTTTTTTTCTTTTTAAGGAACTGAATTTCCTCTTGCATTGTTGCAAGCCAATGCATAGACTTTCTACTATTCCTAGCTTCTTCAAAAACTGAGTGGTGAGATTATCAATCAGGTTTATTTTTACTACTTGTAGCTTCTCAAAAAGTAAAGATTATTTTCAATCAATCTTTGAAAGGTTAATAGTGGAAATTCTTCATCAAATCTAATAGAAGGTCTTATTTGTCTAAATCTTGCAAGTTGATAATAGTGAAACCACAACCCTTACTTCATCAGAGTTTTTTACAGTATTTCTATCTAACACAGTTAACCATTCACTCAAGAATAGTGAAACCACAACCCTTACTACATTTATAGACATCACTCAAGATCTAACCCCAAAAGCCAGAACCGAAGAGAATGAACCCCAAACCGTGCAAGTAATAGTGTCTCTCAGAAGCCATAGAAGATCAGCCAACGGAGTTGACAATTGACAGCATATTATCCACTAACAAAAGCTAGAGGCAAAACACGATTTCCAGCCAATTGTGTAAACTGAAATTAGAAACATGATTTGTCTTAAACCAATTTTATCAGTCAACCTAGTCAATCCAATCAGCAGTCAAAAATCATTCTGGCCAACATGGTTAGCATCATAACATATTCCAACAGTCCCAATTCTTCAATGCAAAATTCGCAAGGGTCCAATATCATCAACCTCGTAATACCAAATTAAATTCTCTCTAAAAATTGCTAATACATCTTTTTTGGATATTAGATAAATGTAATGTAAACTAACTAGAAATGAAACAAATGGTTAACGAAGTAAAAATCAATTGAATAATAATAACGAATCCCGACTTCACTAAGTGATTAAAAGATATATATTGAAATGCTTGAAATGGTTTTAAGAAACTTTTATTAAGCATACCAAGATAAAATATCTCAACTCAAGCTACAGTTGAGGTGGGTTGAATTTCAGAATGAACAGAAGATCTTTTTCATGTATAATATGTTCGAAAAAAATTCAAAATGGAATGAATTTTGAATGAAGAATTGTAACAACAAGCTTTTTATTTCAACTTTCAATTCTCCAGTTAATTTTGTATTGCATTGGTGGTTAAAAAAACCTTGATGGTTATTATAGCATATTGCTCTAATGGTTATTGTAACATTTTGGTTTTAATACAAAATTAATAATAATTGAATCCTTCCTTACCCTACTACTATATAAGGAGGTGTTCTCTTTCTTATTCCACACCCCAAACTCTGAGAGCTCTCTAAATTCTCTCTATATTTCTCTATTCTTTGTTTGTTTCCAAAAGTCTTGTTCTTAGTAGTTTAGATAATTATTTTCTAGTTCAATGATAAAATTGTGAGCATTCTTAGTTCGTCTAAAGTAGTGACGATGTGCCACTTTGTTATTTTCAATTGTTGTATCCCAAGAGACATACACCATTAGTCATCTTGCATCATAGTGAGGGATGAATCTATTTTAAAGAAACCATGTGCAACATAGGTCTCAGTTTCTTTTAATACCGCTACTACATTAACAACCTTTCCCTTTATTTTTATTATTACTCTATTTATTGTAATATTTTTTCCATTATTTTGTTCATATAATTCTTGTGTTGTTCCTAATTTCCTTTCTGTATCTTTACTAACATCTTAAAATAGATTTGATGCAAAAGATGAAGTGCTGGATTTTAAAGAAATATTATTGTGAAAATAATACTCTCCCACAAAATTTATAAAGCATGAAAATTGAAAATTACGATATAGAGAAATTCTGTCTAGGAGGCTAGGTTTAAAGTGGGACCATTTGTGACCCCTCTTGCCAACCTGGGAATTGAATTTTTTAAGGAGGCTAGACTTGTTGGGGTTGGGCTTACACCCCTCTAACCTTCTATGAAAATTACAGATGAAATTAGGCCATGTAACCCCTTTTTTAAAGTGTTTTGATTAATACCTTTTAAATTATTTAAATATTCTAAAGAAGTATTATTTACGTCCTAAATTGGTAAAATCAAAATCAAACCTAAACCAAATTCTACAGCAAGCCCTAAT